TGACTCTACATTAAATTCACGTATTACAAGATAGCAAATCAAATTACAGGCATACGAATTCGACATAATATATCAGGAAGGAGAAGAGAACATTGCAGAATTTTTTTCTAGAAACTGTACTCAAAATGAAATACATAATGAGTCAGATGAAAATGAAGTTGCAGCATAAAAAAATTTTTCAGTGACAAAAATGGCACCCAAATCAATATCACTTGAAGATATAAAATCGGAGACAGCAACAGAAATCAGTTTAGTTGCTGTAAAAACAGTGTTGTTGTTGGGTAAATGACATGACAATCCAATACTTGAACCGTATCGTAAATTTGAGTTAACTGAACACAAAGGAGTCATATAACGAGGAGAAAAAAATGTTCTTCCAAGGTTGCTTCAAAAAAGAGCTTTACAAATTGGACATGAAGGACATTTGAGTGTTAAAAAATGTAAAGGATCATTGCGAAAAAAGGTTAATAGAATATAGAAGATTTATATTCCAGATACCCATATGTTGATATAGTGAAAATCACAACAGCTTCAAGCATCAAGTAAACTAGAAAGATTATTTGCTATTTTTGGTTATCCTAACAAAATTGTGATGACAACGGATTACCGTTTCAATGCGAAGAATTAAAACTATACTTTAAAAATGTTGACATAAAGCAGATTAAAATAACGCCTCGATATCCGCAAGCAAACAGCACATTAGAAAAATTTATGCAAGTGATAGGAAAAACAATTGAAACAACTCATTTTATGAGGAATAATTGGAGGGAGGAACTTCAAAGCATGCTTCGAAGTTATAGATGTGCACCTCATGCTACAACTGGCAAACCACCAGCTACGTTGTTATTCAATAGAAATATTAAAAATAAGTTTCCATCAAAAATAATTAAAAAATCACCGTATGACAAAGAAGTGAGAGAACGTCAAGATAAAAAGTGTAAAAAATTAAAAGAATTTTCTGATATGAAATATCATGCAAAGAAGAGAGATGGCATTTAGTTATGAGATCAGGTTCTTGTAAAACGCAATAAACCGGAAAGAAAATTAGATTCAAAGTATTTAAACAAAACATATAGTTAAAAAAAGAAAGCAAAATTTAATAATTGTAGTCGAAGGAAACGAGTTGGCGCGTAATATACAATTTATAAAAAAACTCAAAAATCCTGAAGCTGAACGTATACAACGTGAAACCTTAATAAATGATAACCAAAGAAAAATAGTTGAAAGAAAATCTTATTCCAAGCGAATTCATAGACGAATAAAGTTTTTTATTAGATACTTTAAACATAACTTATTTATTTGAGTAATAATAGAAGCTTTCCCAAACAGGGGAACTGTTGAAAGTTGATAACGAAATACATAACATTATGATTGGTAAGAGTGCGTTCATGTGAAACACATTAGAACTCGTGAGTTAGTAAGAAAGATTATAGAGTGCATTATGTTTGTTTATATAATACTCGTTGTAACATATATATATATATATATATATATATATATATATATATATATATATATATATATATATATATATATATATATATATATATATATATACATACATATATATATATATATATATATATATATATATATATAATATATATATATATATATATATATATATATATATATATATATATATATATATATATATATATATATATATATATATGTTATTATAATAAATCTTTAAAGCAATAAAAATAAGAGTTAGTAGTTATATATATTTAAAACAGAGAACACAACAGGCATGACGTTTATGGGGCATCATCAATGACAGAAAAAAAACTAGCAGTATGCTAAATAAAAAATTGGAAATATCTAATAAAGAAGTAAAAATTGTTTACTTTGCTAACTTCATCCATCATTACAGAGAGACTTCAAGCTCTGAAACAGCAATGTACATTTTTTTTTTCACCTGGTCTACACCTGACATCAATTCGGACTTAACAAACAGTTAAGAATCTAAAGTTAGACATCTCGTACATCTGTACCCAAATGATCTTAGTGTAGAAGATTTTATTGATGAGTTGCAAAACACTTTAGTCTATTCGACGTCGTCTCCTGACAGATTATTGGACCGTAGATCTTCTTAATAGTATTTGTGCAAAAGGGTGTAAAGGAAATTTCCCTCAGATATGCATCTGTCTACGTATCTTACTTACTTTGTCTATATCTCGTCGCGTTGGTTTCACAAGGTACTAACTAAAATTTTTTATATAAGGAGAATTTAGAAAAAATCTTTTAACTTTTTTTTAATGTTTAATTAAAATTATTTATACTATTGTTTTTTAATTTGTTTATGTACTCTTTTTTTTGTTGATGTATAAAAATACATAAATAAACAAAAAACTATTATATAAATATTTTCATTTAGACAATAAAAAAAAAAACAATTTTTTTGCTATTCTCCTAATATAAAAAAAATCATTTAAAAAAAATCATTTAGAATCTTGTCAAACCAACGCGACGATCTATGGCTGAAAGCGAGAGATTTTTTAGCAAGTTTGCTCTCGTCAGGAACTCTCTAAAAGCTACCATCAGACAGGATCGTCTTAATGGCTGTCAGATCCTTTCAATCTAAACAGATCTTGAGAAGGAAGTTAATTACGATGTTGTAACTTTAAACTTGGCTGCTAGAAAAGCTCGGTGGGTAACTCCGGACGGACGGACGGCGGGTAACTCCGGACACTTGATGCACAGCTTAAACTAATAAAGCTATGTGACTTTTAATACTAAAATAACATTATTTGAATGAAAATATGGCATATGCAAAATATCTATCATAAAATGATGAAGCGAATGACCGGGAGGGCAAGATTTTGTTTCCCACCACCAGAAGAGCGACGTGTCATCATATTAGATTTCTTATATTAATATACCTAATTTTTATGAAAACTAATAACTTTTTAATGAATAGGGATATATTTTTATTTACAATAGTTATTTAAAAAAAAATTGTTAAAAAGTTTAATTCACTGGTTTTAAAACTAGTATTTGTGAATGAGGTATGATCGGGTGGTATCGGACACATGTTTGGAGAGTGGCTCCTGACAACTTAATTCATTTACATATTAATAATAAACAACTTTTTTTATATAAATCATAATATATTTAATATAATACACAAACCTAAAACAGTAATTTATTTAATTCCAATAAAAAAATATTAGGTTTGAAAAAAGTGTTTTTAAAGTTTTTGTTTTCATTTTAAAAAAGCTTATGTTTATAATTTTAAATGATGACATTTTCAATCTCATTCCTTATATATCAGAGGCAATTTTTAAGGAGATTTTTTTAAAACTGAGTCGAGAACAGTCCAATGCTAAATTATTATATATTACATTTGTGTCACACTGTTAAAAAAGAGGTAAAATCATGATTAAACAATGTGCCTGGGGCTCCACCTTCCAATTTCGAAACATACCTTTTTTCTAATATTTTCTTCCTTTATATTTTGTATATTATTAAGATACACAATAATTATTTTTTTCGATAGATGAAAAGTCTTTTGACACTTTTTTTTCTGATAGCACATGTGCACAGTCTACATTTTCCTTAAGTGTTCGGGGCTACCCGACTCTCCCCAAGCATAAAAAATGTTCAAAAAATAACCAAAAACGAAATATAATCAGGTACAATCCTCCATTTATTAAAAATGTTACAACCAAAATTGGTCAACGCTTTTCAACCTTAATTGACAAGCATTTTCCTAAAGACCACAACCTACACAAAATATTTAACAGAAACACAATTAAAATAAGCTACTCATGCATGCCAAACATTAAATCATCGACTCACACAACAAAAATATTTTATATGGTGATGTGAAGTTATCAGAAAAAGCCTGCAATTGCATTAAAAAATCTCTTTGTCCACTGAACAACAATTGTTTCTTTAACAACATCGTTTACCAAGTTACCATAAGCTCAAATAAACCTCAATACAAAGATAAGGTATATATTAGGATAAGCAAAACCTCTTTTAAGCTACGTTATGCAAACAATCTAAAATCGTTCAACCTAAAAAAAACAACGACGACACTGAGTTATCTAAGGAAGTATGGGAATTATAAGTTAACAATTTTACATCTTCAATCAAATGGAATATAATTAAACGCTGTAAATCATACAATGCTGCGTCAAAAATTTGTAAGCTTTGTTTAAATGAGAAATTTGAAATATTATTTTACAAAGAAGATAACCTGCTAAATAAAAGAGGCGAAGTAGTTTCTAAATGAAGACGCAAAAATAAACTTCTCCTTTCATTATTTGATAGCGGAGTTTAGTTTTCCATTACGTCTTCTTGTACTAAAACGTCAGAACTCATTCTACCGTAGTTTGTAATTTTCAAACAGTTTTTTATATTTTTAATTTTGTACTTCATGGCTGATAATTGCCGATAGAGATAAAACTTTAAGTTCCATTAAAAGTTGTTTTTTCTATAATTAAGTATAATTATAGAAAAACGCTTTTTGAAAAAATATTTCTTAAATATTGAACACTCTACAACGATCAGGAGTTTAGCATTTTTAATACTAAATTATACAACAACAATATATATATATATATATATATATATATATATATATATATATATATATATATATATATATATATATATATATATATATATATATATATATATATATATATATATATATATATATATATATATATATATATATATATATATATATGTATATATATATATATATATATATATATATATATATATATATATATATATATATATATGAATATATTACGCATACAAACATACGTTTACGTCTCTATACCCATCTATACAGTCGCAATACATGCAGAGTAACGTCTAAAAGTAAATGCAAAAAATGCTTTTTCATTATAATTTCTCAAAAAGTCTTAATCAAACATCTATAAAGTATATCAAATTATACTACTACTATAAAAGACATAATATCACATTTGAGTATTATTACTGTTTACATGTTATAAGTTTAAATTGAAATATTTTAGTTAACGCACCAAATCGTAAAGAATTCACCATACCTTATGCCGTTGATCACTGGATTAAACTTGGTTTTCCAGCTAAGAAAATTGCACTTGGTATGGGCACTTACGGCCGCGCTTTCTCCCTTAAGAATGCAAGCAATCGCGGTCTCGGTGCCCCTACAGAAGATAAATCTCCTATAGGACAATATACACGCGAAGAGGGTTATATTGCCTATTATGAAATATGTAAAATGGGTCTAACTGTTGTACAAAACAGTGTTGTTGATGCTCCATACGGGTACAAAGACAAAACCTGGATTGGATATGATAATCAAGCAAGTTTAAAGAAAAAAGTGGAATCTCAAATTATCAGTATGTTTGTTAGGATGATTGTTTTTGAAATGTAAACAACACTTTTTTTAAAAATAGAAGAACAATTGCAAATAAAATATATTTAAAACAAATAAATTAAAACAAATAAAATATTTTATGCTTTTTTAGAAAAGGGTCTAGCTGGTGCCATGTTTTGGTGCTTAGATCTTGATGATTTCAATGGTCGTAATTGCGGTCAAGGACGTTACCCATTAATATCTTCAGTAGCTAAACTACTTGGTGGATAAACTTCGCTAGTTGAGTTGTCTTTTTTCCTAATATATAAAGCACTATTAACACCCGATAACAGTAGTGCTGCTGCTGATTGTTCTGCTACCAATCACCCGAGTAAAAGAATTTGACCCGAGAAAATCAATTGTTTAACTATAACTGTGGTAAAGGATATTTCACTTCTAATTTTTGTAAATGTTAACTATTTAAAAATCTATCTATTGCAATTGCTTATATTAGGAGTTTTTAGCTGACTTTTTTTTTTTTTCTGGTAAAGATCTTTAAAGTAACTAAAAGTAACTAAAAAGAAAAGTATAACGTTGTATTAGAACCTAACCTATTTAATTTTTATTAGAAAAGTAATTTAGGCGGAAGTGTATTTCAGGGAACCCCCTTTAGAAAGTCCGTGAAAAATGACCCACGTTTTACGCAAAACATTTGAAAACCATTCTATAACTCTGGACCCAACAATAAAGTTTATTTTATTGAAAGCCATACTTAAAACAAAACCCTGGGGTAAATCCTGAGCCTAACCCTAAATGTCAGGTTTAGGGTTTAGTTAGTGTATAATTTTCAACAATATTCGTTTTAATAAGACTTCATACGGACATACTAAAAAGGAGTGCCTGAAATACACTTGCGCTATAAATAAGCTTTCTAAACTAGTTTTCAATGTAACCTCTGCAATTGTGACGTATTATTTGAATTGTGACGTATTATTTTAATTAAGACTGTATTATTTTGTTTGTAATATAGTTTTTTAATTGTGACGTATTATTTTAAAATTAGAATTTTTTACACAATTCTTTTGGTTTTCAATAATTTAAATATTTTACAGGTATAGTGCCCTTAAAATAACAACAAATTTAAAGTGGCTTAAAAAATTTTGGGAAGCTTGTTTTTTTTAGTTATTCATTTTTTATTTTGTCTAGAGCCATATAGTCTCATCCTGGTGGTTGAAAGCAGTATTCAAATTTTTTTTAATTTTATATTTGTATTCGAAAAATGTCAATTTTATGCAAGTCCATGCAATGTCTATGCAAGGTGCTCTTAAAAAGACAATACTGTTATTATTGATATCTCCTCAACGAATTACTCGATCAAGGAGATTGAGTTAATCTTTGTTCATCAGGGAGTTTATCTTAAAGTTTGTTTTGAAAGATAGTAGTTTCTTCTAGCAGTTCAATTTCTATTGACAGCTTCTTTTTGTTTTTTAACTTCAAAAAATCAATTAAAAATACAAAATTTGATGTGCCTTATTTTTGCAATACTTTAATTGGTACAGTAAGTATTGTGATGTAACATGTTTGTTATTATAGATAAAAAATAAAGTGAAACCAAAATTTAGCTTAAGAGAGCAGCGAACTCAAATTCTGTAATTAAAAAGCTAAAGAATAAATCTGAAGCTGCTTTAAAGCAATTTAACCGAGATGAAAGAAACAGAAAAGAAAAGCTGTAGAATGGTGAGAATTTAATGGAAAACGATGATGCTCTGGAGAAATAAAGTGCATTGCTTCGACTGCAAAATGGAAGGAAACCTCTTTTTAAATAAAAGTGAGAATTTTTTATTGTATTACTAAATATAGAAGTTGTAAGTTTCTGTGTCCATGTTAGTCTCAAACAAATTTACAAAAAAAAAGAACATTAAAACTAAGCAAAGTGCTCTGTTATATGTAAATCTTTCTTATATGTAATACTGAATTCTACTTTCAATATCTAAATACAAAACTCAATCTTGAAAACTATTTTGTTATTTATCTTATATTTTATTATTTATGTTATATTAATTTTGTTATTATATATAATGGAAGCGAGAAATGTGACCATCAGTGCAACAACAGGGCAAAGTATGTCTTTTGAAATCAAGAGTCTATCAAGTAATTTACAAAAATGCAAGTAAAGATTTGTTTCATTTCTTTCTAAGAAATTGAAATTAGGTATACCTAATTTTGATTTCTTAGAAAGAAATGCATTTATATATAACACCTGCAGAGACTACTGCAATAACTCAACTTCTTAATCAAATCAACAATACGCTGAACACCGTTTAAATCTAAAAGTAGCTTTTTTAGCTAACATTAAACAGTTAATAGATAGGATTTTATGTTATCTCTTGCAAGTATGCAGGACAAGTGGGTCACGCTAGAGCCAATACGAAAAGCTGGTAAGAAAGCCGGTATTACTAATAAAAGCTTAAACGTTGCATTTATGTAAAATAATAAACTCCAACCAGCTGCAATGTTAATAGAGGAAGTTTACAATTCTATAAAAAAACACTTGAATGATATACAACAGTGTGTTTATCAGCTGCTTTACCTGTTACTCATATTTCGTCAGTTATAAATAGAAAAATAAGTTCTCCTATATCTATGAAACAAAAAAATAGCCAAATGCAAGATAATGCTTCAAAATGGTAAGAAAAATTACATTTTTTATTTAATTTTTCTTCATGATAAGATAATAACTTACATGATAAAAGCATTATTCTTTATGAAACATGAGGTCTATTGACAATCCAAAAAATTAAGTCGACTCAAAGTAATGATTTGTAAAAAGCAACCAAGTCCATGGTTTCATGGAAAATCAAAATGCTAAAACTTGTAGAGTCTATTAACAGCTCAAAGGACAAAAAAGCGTAGGAGAAAGAAGACAAAGAAAGTAAAAAGAGAGAAAAAATTGAGTTGTTCTATAAATGCAAGGAAGGATGCATTACAAACTGCATTACAAGAACTTTGTTCCCAATTCAGTTGATACTAATATTAGTGAATTCAAAAAAACAAATCATCTCAATTTACTGGTTATTTAATCAAAGACACTCGAATCCAGTCTCAAACGTCAATGTTGTTGGATGTTTTTCTCTGCTGCTGTTACAAATTGTAACGGAGAAAAGTCTTTTATAAAGTTTAGAAAGGGTATTGAAAAAAAGGAAATTACTACACTTCTTATAGTAGACAAAAAAAATGCCTTTCAGCGCTAGCATTTATTTGTTCGTTTTTGGACAATCCAGTAGTTTTAATTAGCAATATATTAGCATATTAAAAAATTGACTTAAAAAACGGATACTATTTTTTTCGGGGAAGAGAGGGGTGTGGAGAGGTCACAACCGTTATTTCGCTGGGGGGGCCAGGATGACCTAAAGCCGGGCCAATTGGTATGTGGTAAATAAATGCACATTGAAGATGATAAAAAATGAATTATAAATTTACCTAAAAGTACATCGAAAGAAAACAACAGCTGCAAAGAAGTTATTTAGAATGTCTGATGAAGAAGAAGACAGTATTAAAGATCTTGTAACTTAATAGATTCCATTAGATCAATAGGGTCTTTGTTATTATTGATTTAAAAAATGCAGTGATCATTTAAAACAGTTTTTTCTTTCGAAAAAAAAATTTTTGTTTAAAAATATACCGACGGAAAAGGACATTCTGGTACAGTTTGGGTTGTTGCTCACTGCAATGATTCATTAAGTCTTGTGAATCATGTTGTTCAATTTCGCGAAATTTCTGGTGGATATTTTTTTAAGCTCGAATTGATGGTGGTAAAAGTTTTCTTAAGTTTTATCTAAACATTGTTGATACTTCATTTAGGGTTGATACTAGCTCACCGCCTTAAAAACAACCTCTCACTTAAAGGACTGACAAAGACACTGGAGTTAAGAGACAAGCTGTTGTTGCGGTATTAAAAGATTTCCAAAAACACACCCTAACATTGAACAAACCTGGTCACTGATTAATGCAAATGGAGTTAAAGTAATTTTGACTTGAAAGTTCCAAACATAACTTGTGGTCGATTCCATATAAGTATGTGCCCGTGTACATGGTGTAACGTCAAATCCAAGTGTCTTTGTATATCTGAAAACTTGTGAACACTGGGTTCAATCAAATCTAGTCTCGAGTCTTTTCAGCAATCTGGCTGGGTAATTGCTTGAACAAAGTTGTTTAGCAATGCCATTTGAAATGCAATCATCAGTGGGCCTGGCAATGTTCTGATTTCCGAAATAATCCCACCGATGGAATTGTGTCTCCTAATAAAAGTTGTCAATCATCTTTTCACGATGAACTTAAAACTGCCTGGTTAGAAGCCATTAAGTGGCCAGCTGCCCTCGACATTTAACCCCATCAATATTTTTGTCCATATAATGAAAATGGTACATGTATCAATAAAACAATTCAAATGAAATTTTTTGATGTTACATAGTAGAGCACTCATGTAACCTTTATTTTGAAAATAGTGATCGAATATCAATTGCAAGTTGTACAGTTTTCTTACCCTGATTAATTTACTTTTGAATCACTTTTGCCAGAGTTGTGTTTTGTTCAGAACCAGCCTTAGTAATGGCATCAGATTCAAGTTCTTGGCGAATTTTTAAACTTTATTTTAAAACCGCCATAAATCTTTAACCAGTAAACCAATCTGACTGAAAATTTATCCAGATTTTGGTGTGGCTTTATGGTACATTAATTTTTATTAAATTACATGAAGTGGTTCTCATTTTACAGATGTTTTTATTGTCGCATAATAAAGTCGAAATTTCACATAATTAGAACATTCAAATTAATTTATTTTCGCGGACAAAATTAAAAGATTCAAAAACTTGATTAATACCCTGAGGTGTACGCTATTACCCCATATAAGTGGCGTTCTTGGGTCGCTTGGTTGGCATTATCAGGATCCTTGCTAACCTAGCGTGTCTATCTACAATTTTTCTTTTTGAGAAAAGTTCACTGTTAACCGTGGTCTTGTTTGTAATAAAATTACACCAAAAGCTGTAAAATTTAAAATACTAATTACTGAGTTACTATTAATTAACTTTTGATTATTAACTAACTAACTATTAATTAAATTAATTTACTTATTTAATTAAGAATTCAATAAATGCTTTCTAATTTTTGACCTAGAACTTTTTTTTTTTATAGTTATTAAGGTGCTCCCAGAAGTCGTTACGGTCTTATCACAGAGAAAACTTAACTAGAAAGTTCATGCTTCCTATCTTACCAATGTCGCTTATTGGTCTGGAGCCGGAGTCGAACCTTAGACCTCTGGGTTCTAAACCAGATTGCACAGTGGTCAGAAATGTCTGAAAATGTGAATTAATTCAAAATTGCTGTTTTTGAATAACACACTCAGTTTTAATTGCAAAACATTTTTTAAACCTCGTAGAGGGTATACTCGACATTATTTCTTCGTAGGTCTCTGAATTCTTAATATCTATCATATCAAAAGAATTCAGGTTTTTAAAAGTAAATGAATGCAAATTCTTCTGTAATGACAGCCAAAATGGTTTCAAAAAGCATCAATATTTTTAAATTTTAGTTTATAAAATTTCAATTTGTGCTCTCTGTCCAACTAAAATCAACAGTATTTCAATTCAATATCAAAGTATTGATTTGGAACCTGTTTATATTTATGCTGAAAAACCTTAACCCTCTTTATCCCCCTAATGGATTAGATAATGCACAAAAAATGCCGCGCTTTTTTTCGCGATAAATATTTCTTGGAAAAACGAAAAATGAAATAAAAGTTAAACTCATAACTTTTGATTAGAATATCATACAACAAAAAAATTACTGGAATTTTTTGCTACAAAGTGATAAAGTTTACAGTTTTAAAGTTGTAAAATTTCCAAATAATCAAAATAGAATTTTAAGCATACAGTGCCATCTGGGGTTTAAACTAGACACTAAAAGAAAGAAATGTTTTTTCATAAAATTTAATTTGGCGTTTTTTAGTGCATTAATGAGAACAACTAAAAATCTTTATTGTTATTGGAAGAATTTTGTGAATTAAAAGCAAGTTTG